AGCGGGGGGGGGGGGGGGGGGAGGGGGGGGGGGTCCCGGGCCGGCTTTCCTGCAACGTTGTTGGATTGTTTGCGTGCGTGCGTGTCTTTTTTTTTTTTTTTCGTTTCTGTGTGCGCATTCTATGTTGGTTTGCAATTCGGCTTTGTCTGTGTCGGCTGTCTTGGCATGGAGGATGGAGGTAAGACTGTCGGTCGCCATAGCGAGGGGTGGTTGGAGCTCGAGGAAGGGAGGCGAAGATGAAGATATTGTCATGTCTTGGGTTCCTTTGTTTTGGGAAACGTGTGTCTCAAGACGATGCGGAACAAGATGGAGGGAGGCGTGTTTGTTTCCCCCACCAGGCCCAACGTACAGCAGTAGCTCTCGGCTGTCTCAATCCAACTACGGGTAAACGGCAGAAAGAACAAGATACGGAACTGGCTGTTCGTTCTTTGTCCTCCCCCCCCACCCCCCCACCTCCACCCCCCACGCGCATCCCTACATCTCTCCACCATCCCGCCCACTCGTACGTCCATAACGTCGTACGGAGGCGATCACAACACAGCAATAGCAGCAGAGTTTTGTTTTCTTCTTGCTTGCGACTTGACCCGTTCGTGTATTCTGTGTGTGTTGGGGGGGAGGGGAGGTGCCGAAGGCAAACGGAGAACATGATGTACTACATACGCGGAGGCAAACGGTGGCTGCTATAAGGCGTATCGCACTCGGTCGGTTTTTATCGGCGGGTGTTGCATACTATACGCGGTTAGTCGTTACGCAACGCTTAACGCTTAACCTGACTGAGTGCTACTACACCAGTGGCTGGGTCAGGGAGACGCGCGCGCACGTACTTACGAGGGGCAAAGGGGGGTGCTTCTGTCGTCTTAAGGTCTAATCTACCTGGTAGTTGGTATCGTATTTAGTGCGTTGATATGAAACTGAGTGTGTAGCATAAATAGTGGTTTGTTTCTTGAGGTGGGTGTGGTTGAAACTGTTCCAAGCCAAGCCGCGGCGGCCATTTTACGGTTAAGTTGCGGCCGCTCCGTGGAAACTATTTCCGGTCGGGCATTGTTGCTGCTGGTGCTTGCTACTCAACACTCTCTTCTTCATGGGCGATGGCGAAAAAAAAAAAGATCGGCGGAAGAATTGATTGCCCAGCGATCTTGAAAGACCATATTATTTGTATTTGATGCGCATGCGTTACTACTTCGTTCGTAAGCTGTGTGCGAAAATACAGACAAAAGGGGGGGGGGGGGGGGGGGGGGAAAAAAAACCCCCCCTTTTTTTTTGGCAAAAAAAAAAAGAAAAATTTCCGGTTTTTAAAAAAAACCCCCCCCCCCCTGGAAAAAAAAAAAAAAACCAAAAAAAAAAAATCCGGGCGCAAAAATTTTTTTGG